TTGATAGTTTTTTGAAGATCTTCAAAGGTACATTACAGTCTGTGGGGATTGTCATGTGAATAAGAAGACACATTTTGTCTTTGCGGTCTCTAATCACGATGTCTGGGCGATTAGCTTTGATTGTTCCGTGTGCATTGTAAAATCCCATAAAATTGTTAGAGGTCTTATCTTCGTAATTGTTCTTGCAGTTTGCTTTCCATAAAAGTTGCAAATGTTCCAGTTCATATCTTGGCTCACTCTCTCATGTCATGGGTGCCAATATAGTGCAACCTGGTACAAGATGGTCAATTGTTTCTGGATATTTATCACTGAATCTGAATTTTGGCTAACACAATTTTTTCAGTATCATAATTTCTAGTTAACAAACATTGATCCTGTACAGCAAGAATAAAACCTTCAGTTACATCTTTATACCCTGCACTACATAGCCACTGATGGGTACGGGTTTTGTCTACATCATTTTGTTTGGGATGGGCAGAGTATTGTCCGTTGGGCGGTTTATCTTACCATCGTTTCTGTATCTGGTTGGTTGCATTTGGTTTTGTTTTCTTTTTTAAGTATTTTGCAGCTGCAGTAGGAGTATTATGTTTTACTTGCATTTCTTCACTCATTTGAAACTCTATTTTGAACTTGTTAACTTCCTTTATTACTGAATAAAGTTTCTTACTTCTTTCATGCTCTTTGACACAGATCATCATCCAGTGTTCTGTAGTTTCCAGGTATCTTTGAAGGCCAATTCTCGTAGATTATTATTATTGTTTTTTATTATTATTATTATTATTATTATTATTATTATTATTATTTTGAATTCTTGTGTCTACGCATTTCTTTCCGGGTCCCAACCAGAGACATAAGGTTAGAAATGGAATCATGACATTTTCTACTGAGCAGTTTTTGAGAAAAAAATAAACCCAAAACCCAAGACCACACATATTTTACATAGATAAAGCCCTTCGTAAGGTGTGGACTGTACTTGTGAGTAAAATATCTTATATTTCTTTAAGGCTTGGGCTACCAGGAATCCCTACAATTAGTCTATGGGAAACTTTTAATTGCTATTATTATTATTATTATTATTATTATTATTATTATTATTATTATTCAGGTATTTGTATGCTCAGATCACATTTCTAGTACTGCAGTGGTTGAGAGTTGAATTCTTCCTAATATTTTTAACTCCATTCTAATTAATTTTTAGTGTCAGATTATGTTTCATTATTATTATTATTATTATTATTATTGTTGTTGTTGTTGTTTTTACTATTATGTTGATGTCGCACGTTGAATTAGTCAATGGAAATCATGTTCTTGGGGCAGTGTTTACAAGACTCTTCACAGCCCAAGAACTTTTTGTAGAATTCTTTTCCGGAGGTCGACGATCTTGGTCTCAGTTCTAATCCTCTCTAAGCACCTTTTCACGTTTTCCAGGTGGTGTTTTAAGTGCACCCATTCCTACAGGAATTAATCATACATTCCTGTTCCAGCACTTCTTACCTGATTCTGTTATTTTTCAATCTTTATTATTAAGGTCAAGATAAACAGAAAACAACAGAATGGAAAACGTCATCTATGTCAGTAATGAAATGATGGCAGTTTTCTAGGGGTCTACAATTTCAGTCTCAGTTCCATTTCTCTCTAAGAACTTTTTTTTCATTTTTCCAAGTGGTGTTCCAATTAAACCCATTCCTACAGGAATTAGTTATACATTCATGTTCCATAGATTTTTCAGCTCCCTCACCTGATTCTGTTATTTTTCAATTTTTTCAGTTTCTTTGGATTCTACTCTTGCATCCTATGGAACAGCAAAGTCTATAATTTGACATTTTCTTTTCTCCTTATCTATAAAATTCAATGACATCAATCTGTCTAGACAAAAAAAATTCCATATCTTTTAACTATTATTATTATTATTATATTCCAGTTTTCCTGTTTGATACAATCCTTTACCAATTTTTTATACAATCTTTTACCAATTTAAAATGTTAGATTTCATTAATTTTTATGTATTTTGAAAGTTGTCAGTGTTATATTATTACACACACACACACACACACACACACACACACACACACACACACTCACTCGAATATATATGTGAGTTGTTTCTCTTGTATAATAATGGCATCAAGTATTTTAGTATTTCCTTACAATGAGAGTCGTTTCGTATTTTGGTATCATATACGAATATGTTTTCTTATCTGGTTGTTTGCTATATCGTGAGCACTATTACACGAATTGGTTATTTTCTTTCCTATAGATTGACTTGTCACCTATCGCAACGTTGCGCAATCCATGCATAGCTCAGTCATTCCATATCTGCAGTTATTATTATTATTATTATTATTATTATTTTCACTTGTTCTGGGCGGTTTTTCGTTTTCAACCGTAGATCTTGCATTAGTGACGTTCTCCGTCTTCGAAGACATGGTGGAGTAATGGATACCGGCTCGGATTGTGGAATCGGAGAGCCGAGTTCGAATTCCAGGCACTTATATGCAATTCAACTTCAAATTCTTCTCCCCCCCCATACTTTGATTAAATAACAGGACAGACTGGGTTTTATAGCCTTGAGTTGAGAAAGTTACTCTGAATTCAAAATTGTATGTAGCCTTTGCCTAGCATATACAACTAAAGAAAGGAAAGTTCGCATTGGTTCGATGATCCCTACTAATGTACTATTCACAGATTATTTGCAAAAGCAACGCAAACTTCTGAAGCGATGGGGCATTTGACTTTTATAATTAGTATCTGCTCGTTGAGTATTCAAATAACTAGTAACTGAAGGTTTACGTTGTTATTATTATTACTACTACTATTATTTTTATTTCTTCCTTTGTCTTTTTATCACGACAATCCAAATCGACTAGCAATAGTATTAAAATTCTTAGTATTCTGAAGTGTTTTTCATTAAGAATTTTTTACTAATTTTTATCACCTGATTGACAATATTATTGGCTAATATGCCTTGTAATTAGAGTTGTTGTGCTACTAAATATACTGTATTAAACATTCAGGCTGGTAAATGTTGTTAATACTGTTTATTATAAACAGAGTATTTACTTAAATATTTGCATCTATAGAAATAACATATAAACAGAAAATATATTAAAATAATTGTCGGACATATTCCTTTCATAATATATGATGTCATATTTACGTTTCGAGCAGATATGAGCGTTCGAGAAAAAACATGGGAAATTTGTCGTTTAAAAACAGTAATTCGAATTTGCTAACCAGAGGCTTCCTCTGTAGTTAAATATTATCGCACATCAGGCCATGTAACGGTTCCGTGTAGCATAGGGGTTCGATTCCTGTTGGAGGACACATATTTTCTATGAAATTTCTCGGATATTCAGGCCGGTAAATGTAGTTAATAATGTTTATGATAAACAGAGCATTTACTTAAATATTTGTATCTATAAAAATGACGTATAAACAGAATATATATATATATATATATATATATATATATATATATATATATAAACAATTAATTTTTTTTATTCTGATATTTTTATTGCTTCAAACATTATTTTTAAGGAATAGCCGTGTTATTTTTTCAACAGTCTGAGCACTCGAAAAAATGTGCTCTCTCGCAGAGTTCGAAACTGCGTCCTTATTTTTAAGCCGGTAAACGTCATACACACCTTTAAAAAAAAGAATCGAGGTGTCTACTCAAATATGAATTTAAAGTAATTAAAAATATATATTTATACGTAAGTTAAAATTCTTTTTTAATATAATAGCCATCTTGTCAATGCACGTAATTCAAAGGGGAATGGTATTAACATAACGCAAGCATTATACAGTGACATGATCAGAGCAAAACTCAACTAATAAATACGTACCATGTTGTACAGTTGTAGATATGAACTAAAATATGAAAATGTGTATATATATATATAATGTTAATACTATTCCCCATTGAATTAAGTGCATATATATATTATTCAAAACATGTGTATATATATATATATATATATATATATATTATTTAAAAACATGTGTATATATATATATATATTATTTAAAACATGTATATATATATATATATATATATTATTCAAAATATATATATATTATTCAAATATGTATATATATATATATATTTTATATATATATATTATTCAAAAAATATATATATATATATATATATATATATATATATATATATAATGTTTTGGTTAATAAAAAATATTTAAAAAATTAAAAGTTGCAGACACACTGGGTTGTATATTAATATTTTTGCTTATTTTTTTGTTTCAGTTAAGTTCCTTGAATATATATATATATATATATATATATATATATATATATATATATATATAATGGCCAGCTATATGTTTTCGTGCACACCTGCTAGATCGGCTCGGTACATTTGTATTTGGTCAACATCTGTGGTTTATACGGCAGCTCTGTTAAGCGGACCTTAATTACATTTTCAAAGAGGGACAACATTATCTGGCGTGACCGATAGTTTGAATAAGGCCAAGACGTCCATACCCTCGGTCTTGTTGATTTACGATATCGTTCTACTATAATCATTAGCGGCTTCCGCACGGTTCCATCAACACAGTTTGTACTCGCTTGGTATGGATTTCAGGCGCTTCGCAACCATGTGAAACACGCTGGGACCGCATCCTAATTATCACGAAGTCTACTTCCTGACAAATCGAACCTTTTGTAATCACTCGGACACGCTTGCCCATTTTTCTCGTTTTTCTGATTTAGAAGTTGTTTTTACCTCTCTTTGTGATATCTTATTGGGGGTTAATTATTATATATATATATATATATATATATATATATATATATATATATATATATATATATTATATATTTTCGTGTGACTATGTAATTATGTATGTGTGCTTTTCAGTATGAAAGACCATATTTGCATTTTATTAACACTCCTTTTTTCTTTTGTTTTCCAGCCAACTCGAAAAATGGTAAGGTTCTGGAAAATCCTTATTTTAGGGACAATCGGAGTATTGGTCCTGATGACCCAATGGGCTAGTTTTGTGCGAGCGGAGAGCCCTTCCAACGGTGAAGACTTAGTCAATGCAGCAGGGGCTGCCGTTGAATCAGCCGACGAACCATCTGGTCGATCTGTGTCCGATAGCCCTTACGACATGAAAAGAGCCAACCAGTTCCTTCGGATCGGCCGGGGAAGTCACTTTATCCGGATCGGACGTGGCGGCGCCAGTTCTTTCTTACGCATTGGAAGAAATCCGCTCAGTCAATTCGTTCGGATCGGCAAGGCTCCCTCTAGCATGTTTCTACGCATCGGGAAAAGTTCAGCTGCTGGAAACCCCGAGGTTGGGGATTTGGCCGCCGGACCGTCATCACTGGGCGACAGTAATATCGATGAAGACGAGGTCCTCAAGAGAGCTAGTTCTTTCCTCCGAATTGGTCGATCCAACCCATCAACATTCCTAAGAATCGGTAAAAGTGCTGGAAATCTTGACGAAGATACAGCCGCGAACGAAGAGATCGTTACCGACGACATTGACGTCCCGTCGGAAAGTGTGGCAAAACGAGCGAATGCCTTTCTCCGGATCGGAAAGATCCCAGCGTCTTCTTTTGTTAGGATCGGCCGGGGTCCCTACGGTATTGACAACCGAAGCAACCCGCGCGGTTTCCTCTCGGTCGGTTCAAGGTTCGTTCGAATTGGGAAACGTGAAGCCATTCCATCTGAAACAGGCCCGGTCCATGCACGTCTCTTACCCAACCTTCATGATCAGGCACAGTGAACAGGAATAAATCGAAAATAAATAAGAAAAATGAATAAAGGCACGAATTAAAAAAATGAAAAGGAACGAGAAAAGTGAAAGATATACGAAACTAGCGAAAAAAATCCATCTCCAACTCCAATGAAAATGAAAGGAAAGAAACTTAACCAAAATTTATTCCATAGATATAAGAACTAACTAAATAAAATAACTGCAATCCTTATTTTTCGAAAAACAAAAAAGAAAAAAAAAACAAGAAACCAACTAGAAACTATATCAGCAGAAGAGACCTTGCAGTGTCTCATAGCGGGGAAAAACAATCTATAATCATAAAACAAATGAAGAATAAAAAAACATCCTATAAAATAATGCATCTGAGAAAAAACAACAAAGAACGCTCAAATCATTCAGAATCCGATGCTCCCGCAAGAAAAATCTTTAAAAACAACCGTACAAAAATGATTGACCCTTTTGAATAACGACTAACGAACTCTGAAAAATAACTGTGATGAATGTGTTTCTTTCTCGACTTAATTTAATCTTCAGTTTAATTTAATTCAATATTTTTTAAAAAGCAAAGCAAAAATATGCTGGACCTAATTTAGTAACAACTAAAATATATATTTTCGACAAACTTAATTAGATTTCAGATTCGCTGCGAGAAATTGAAAATTAAGGCCGAATTAATTTATCAAAACAAAACATTTAGTATCCTAATTTTGGAACAAGTAGTATTTCAGGGTTATTTGAATTTATTCCGTATACACCAATCCTATACTTGGGTATATATATATATATATATATATATATATATATATATATATATATATATGTGTGTGTGTGTGTGTGTGTGTGTGTGTGTGTGTGTGTGTGTGTGGAGAGAGAGAGAATGTAGGAAAGACATAATCATATATATATATATATATATATATATAGTCGTCAGACTTGGTATGTGTTTGTTGCGCGTGTATGCTTATTTGTCTAGGTATGTATGCATATATATACACATCTATGTATATTTATCTTTGTATATTTTGGTTTGATAATTATATAAATGCACATATTTACATGTAAATGTGCATATGTATACACACACAGACATGTGTATAAGTATACGTGCTTTTCAAGATGACAAATATAAGGATGTTGTTATATATATATATATATATATATATATATATATATATATATGTGTGTGTTTTCGTGAGTGTGTGCATGCATGAATAGGTATACATATGTGTATTATGGGGAACCAATTTCTATCCAGATGTATATGTATTTTTGTACGCTCTCGCACTCACACACACACACATATGTATATATGCTTGTTAAATAAATATATATTTATATTTGTATATATATATATATATATATATATATATATATATATATATATATAAATAGCTACATGGGTGTCTGCATATATATGGAAGATTCATATGCATATACATACATGTACATATATATGTGTGTATGTGTGTATGTATACATATATATTTGGCTTTAATAATTTCCATATATATGTTTGATTGCAAGTGTCTGTACGAATGAATGAAGTTATTTCATGCACACTTGTATGAAACATGTATATATATATATATATATATATATATATATATATATATATATATATATATATATATATATATATATATATATATATATATATTGTATATGCTTGTCCAAAATAGGATTTAGAAAAATAAAGTCAAAATTACCGCGACAGCGAACGAAAGAAGAATTATTATGAGTAAAGCTAATAAAAATAGATACTAGATAATTATAATTAAAATACACACACACACACGCACACGCTGATATATATATATATTTTCCACAGAAAGTCAAAACATAATAAAGCCAAAAGGAGAGAAATGAAGAAAAACTCCTGGAGACCATGAAGAAAGCAAACGTATTGTTTTAAATATTCTTGTTCGAGATTTAAGCCTTCCCGTTGGCTTGCTTTGAAATTCTATTTGATCTCGAAAAATGAAAACTTTTTCCATGAAAAATAAAACCCCAAAGATGTTAATAATTATTACAAACCATAAACCCTGAAAAGAAACGAAAAAAAAAAAAAATACACGATGTTATTATTTACAGATATATATATATATATATTAAAGAAAGATAAAAATTTCTAAAAATGTCTCGCATTCCAGCATGTCCTTCCTCTTGGTTCATTATTTTTATTTTTCTGTATTTTTTTTTTTGTTGTATTTTAATTTTGCAACTTTTCATTTCAGGTAAATTTGTTTCCTATTTTTTTTAGGGATTTCTCTTCTTACTCTTCGCTTACGTTAATGAGACTGTCTCTTCCACCTGTGAAGATGAAATCAGTTCGCGCAGCTGGACATTTTACGCTGTTTGCCTTTTCACAGTCGCTCAGCGAGCTTTGACGGCCAAGATAACACGCACGTTTTAGCATCGTTATTATTATTATTATTATTATTATTATATTTGTTTATTTCCTTTGATTTCTGGCCTTTACACATTTCTTTCCGGGTCCCGTCCAGGGACCTACGGTTAGAGATGGCATCATGACATTTCCACTGACACAAAAAAAAAATAAAATAAAATTACATAGATAAAGATCTTCGTAAAGTGTGGGCTGTACTTGTCAGAACAATTTTTTGTATCTCCTTGAGACATGGACTTCCAGGGAGCCCTTCAATTAGTCTACTGGAATCTTTTCCAACCAGTCCTAGGGCTCCAACTACAACAGGGATTTTTGATGTCCCTATGTGCCACAATTTCGAGATTTCTATTTCAAGGTCCTTGTACTTTGACAGCTTTTTGAATATCTTCAAAGATACATTGCAGTCTGCAGGGACTGCCATATCAATAAGGAGGCACTTTTTTGTTTGTGGTCTTTAATAACAATGTCTGGGCGGTTGACTTTGATTGTCCTGTCAGTGTGTATTGTGTAGTCCCATAGAATTGTAACAGGTCCTATCTCCGTAAACGGGTCAGGGTGGTGTTCATACCATTTTCTTTCAGTTTATTATTATTATTATTATTATTATTATTATTATTATTATCATTATTATTATTAGTAGTAGTAGTAGCAATATCAGATCGATCGACTGCCTTATAGGAATAAAAAATGCATCTGCCGTGCTATGTTTCTTTAGTCGGTAGTAGAGAATAATATATAACCTAAGATAGATAAATAGATGCCCCTTCTAAGGTATTATTCGAAAATTATCCGGAACAGCTCCAGCCGCAATTTGATCTCGGCCCGCTGACTCCATTTACCGCGACATTAACAGTTATGCCACCCTTGCGTCCCCTTATATAAGCTAAGCTTAGTTTAAACCACCATAAAGCCAGTTGATGGATAACGAACGTAGGTAGATTGTGTTGCGTCAATCTGCCATTTAGGAAAGGAATGCCTGCCTAGAAAATCAACAGCTAATATCCTGGGTTTTAACTAGACTCGAACACTGAGGTGAGTGGTAAATATTTCAGTCTTTCAACCAAATGATCAGGCTTACAGATATTTACCAAGCTTGGATTACTCTGTTACAGCACCAACAAAGTAAAATATGAAGATTGTGTTGCGTCAATCCTTTAAACGAGGATTACATGCTTGCTTAGAAAATCAGCATTCAAAATCATGTTTATGATTCCATAACGAATATAAATTTCCCATCTTTCTGGGATCAAATAAGAGAAATTCTTCACTTCTCGCTTATAGAACTTCCTTTCGGCTCCATGCTTTCCAGCGAATTTTAATCTGCAAAAATTTAAAGGCAATGTCAATCGCTATCTACTGTCCTCCTGATTACTCTCTTCTCTTTCTACTCATCATTAATGTTTTGGCTCCTAATTCTTTCGTACAAAGTAACCCCTTGAGTTTTAGTGATTTTACTGTCTTGCTTACGGTGATACTGATTAAAAACTGAAACGATCTCATTTAGCCCCTACCCCCGCCTCCACGACATGGTCAAAATAACGTGTATGCAGGTGTTACCAAAATGTGTTCACTTCTCCAGGTATTTCTCCTTTTGGAATGTTTAAGGAATCAGGGTTTGAACCTGACACTAATCTTTCTTTTTAGAGCTATAGGCCCGTTGCAGTTTGTAATGAACCTTTGCCTAGATATTGCTTAATTTTCGCCACATGTTGCATAAAGGGTGTGTTTTTCAGTGCACCCTCTTCGCAACCGAATGTGACACAAGGTCAGTTTAAAATGGGTTTTATGGTAATACCGTGGAAATTTGTTCAAACACCATTGACACTTGCCCTTTTTGAGGACGCCGGACAATAGACCCAGCCCCCTGCCGAAGGAGAGATACTACCTGGCAGTATGGCCTCCTGGGCATTCAACCTAATTTCACCCTCCCTTGAGCGAAGCGAACTCTGAAACAAGAAAGAAATCTCGAAGTGTTAATATGCTACATGAGACGATGATTGTAGCAACTTAAAAAAGAAGTGGGTCCAAATAATATTAGTAATGGCGGTTTCTTCGTTAGATATTTGGTGGGGTAATGGATAGCGGCTTACATTGAGGAATCGGAAAGCTGAGTTCGAATTCCAGTCGAATCCATTACATTCGCTTACGTGCTAATACCCTTGGGAAAGGTATGAATCCCCCTCTTCTTCTTCCCCACCACAGCTATGGCTAAATAGCAGGACAGACCGGGTTCTATAGCCTTGGATGGCGACTGGTCTACGGCAGAATGAAATGACTATCTACTGCAGAAAAAAAAAATCAGCCTCGTCAGTCATGTATCGAAGAATACATGACTAACGTCAGTTATGTGACATGCGTGATACACGCATGTCACATAACTGACGGGAGATTTTAGGTCGAAGCAAGCAGGATCTTCCTACTTGAATAAATGAATGATTTTTTTTTTAAAGGTTTATCAAACTATTGCAGGTTACATTTCCACGACTGGACTTAAATAGTTAATTAACGCCTCAAAGAAAAAGGGAGCGAGATTGTTAAATTTCATTAAAGCATCAATAAATTCTGGCGTTGGATTTCGGGTGGTATATCGGTCCGCAACCAA